CTCGAAATGCCAGCAACCAAGCAGGTTCTAGGGTCTGAGTTGTCTGTAATCTACTGTCTGTAGAGTCTTAGGGGCCCATTCACCTCAAACGCTGAGCTAATCGCACACAGTGTCTGGTGTGCAGTGCCCCAGCACAGTGCTGAAGTACTGAGCCTGACACATCACACTGTGTACTTTGAATGAAATGTCACAAGTTACATTTCATTCAGTTCTCTGGGCACAGCGGGGTGCAAGGCCTGCAGTACTTTCTTTTTAACACACACCACCATTTTCCTATTGTGACCCTCAATGTGGCACTTAGCTATGCAGTTTGCACGGTGATTGCTCATCAGCGCCATTTAGTGGCGGCAGTGCCGTACAAACAGCATCCGCCCAGTGTGACATTTATAACTTAGCCCCTTAAAGTGGATTTGCAGCCAAATTGAGAGAACACCGAGATTATATTTGTTATCTGCTCTTGTAAACTAGATTTGAACACTCTCTGTCCTAAGAGTTTGTGGCCTGGCTCCTGTAATACAAATTGATTGAAAGATCGACATTTGTCGACCAGAGGAGTGCCGGCAGGGCCACTGCTGACTCAGCCAAAATGTGAGCAGTGTATGGCCAGCTTGACTTGCCTCTCCATGACAATAAGTTTGCAGGTAAACCTACCTTCTGATAGAGATGTGTCAGCGGTCATCACCAACATCCTTAGGAAAATGTGACTTACCTGCTGGTCTCTGGTATCAGTATTTTGCAAATCTTTTCCGGCCAAGGGCTCATTTACACAGGCGTGCACATCTGTATGGCATGTGCACCCGTGCAAAGACCTGCTCCCATTAAAGGAGAACTATAAGGCGAGTGCTTTTCACTCACCTCCTAGTTCTAGCCGACCCGTAACAATGACCGGTATAACGGCGTTCGCTCACCTCTTGATCCTGTCGCGGCTCTCTGCCGTGACAGGGGAGGGGCTGAATTCCCACCGCTCCGATCCGCCAGTGCTGACTGGTGGAACGGACGGGGGAGGGGGCGGGTACAGCTGGCTCTGCCTCTAGATAGGCAGAGCCAGCTGTCAGGCAGCTGGGCGGATCCTGGCACAATTGTCGGGATCCGCTCCAGTTGCGGCGTCTCAGTATACCGCGAGCTACAGCTTGCGGTATACTGAGCCTAGGGTGACGGGAGGACGATAGTTTGTGTCCTCCCGTTACCCTAAGGAGAACTATGGGGAAAAACCTCAACACCATAGTTCTCCTTCAGAGGAGAACTATGAGGCGAGTGATTTTCACTCATCCTCATAGTTCGAGTCGACGTGCGACAATGTAACAGTCACACGTCGGCTCAATAGATTGGGAAGTGAGCGAACACATACCGTCGCTCGCTTCTCGATCATCTCCCTGCAGAGAGCCGTGACTGTCACTCACAGCTCCCTGCAGAGATTCCTCCCCGCTCCAATCCTCCAGCGTTGACTGGCGGAACGGATGGGGGAGGGTACAGCTGGCTCTGCCTCTATATAGGCAGAGCCAGCTCTGGGGAAAAAAACACAAACAAGGGGCGCCTTTCCTGGTGCAGACAAATTTATTTAGAATAAAAGCAAATAGTGAATGTGAAACATACTCACAAAAGGTCGACATGATTACAGCATAATAAGCAAATACATGGACCAATACATGGACAGTAATGTCGAATTTTTTACCGTGAACCGCGGTAAAAAAAAGCGCGGCAGACGCGCATATGCAATACGCCTAGGTGTGAACGAGACCTAAAAGGATGGACAGTATTGTAGCTAATAAATCAGCATGACACACGGGCCACTAAAATTGGAGACAAATGAAATAGTATCTCTTATTCTCAGTACCAACTTCATTTAACCCTTTGTTGGAAGATTCACACTGCAGGCATAAACACTGCCTGGCGAAGAGGGTTCTTTACAGTAAGAGCGGTTAAGGTCTGGAACTCACTGCCATTGGCAGTGATTTCAACCAAGAGTGTAGATTTGTTCAAGAAACGTTAGGACAATTTCTTGAGGGACCGTAATATCCAGGGATACCAGTATCACTAAGAATGAGATGATGCGTGGAACAATATGGGTTGGACTTGATGGACATGTCTTTATTCAACTCGAAATACTATGTAACTACAAGGATAGTGCTCGTTATCCATTTGTGATACAGATAAAGCATACTTTCCATGCTGCCTAAGTGTCAGAAATATTGCAAATAGCCATGTGTCCCTTCTGCCAGTTTCAAACCTGTCCAGGCATTCCATTATCCTCCCAGGCTTAGAGTGAAATACTTCCCGATTTTCCTCTAAAGGGACCATATTTAATCTCTAGGTGACTGGCAGGAATACCATTGAATTCTTACAATGCAAAAAAACCACAAATGTGTAAACAGCAACATGTCAAGCTAACAGCATTGTTCCCGGCTCAGTACCCTGTGCCAAGTCAAGTGGCTGCCTCCATTATAGGTTCCTTATCACTAAGTACATGTCAAACTCCCATCCTGTGTCACTGCTGTCACCTTCTGGCTTATCACTGCCCTGCCATTGCCAGTGGCCCCTGTAACTACAAACACACAGTGCCTGCACAGAAAAGTAGCAAGGCAAACCAGGTACAAAGTAAGAGGAAACTAAAAGACTGCAGGTTCTCTCACACAGCAGAAGTGTATTCACCACCTTCATCTGACTGGATGCAGGTGTTGTTCGGCTGCAAATGTTGACAGGCTCCATTGACAACGGTCAAATTGCTTTTCATGAAATGGAGGGATGCACACTAGGCCTCAAACTGCAGTGTTAGGAAGATTTGGCTGAAATCTGGGTGGTATACGGCCAGTTTTGGCCTTTAATTTATCACTTACTTGAAACTACTAAACCACCTAAGACTACCCTGCCCGCGATGAGACAACGCCACTGTGCAATTTCAAGGCAGAACAAACTGTGTTGTCACCCACTTAGAGGCCATTCACACTACAGCATTATGGTAATGCATGCTGCCATTCAATTTGCAGCCCACCACAATGCACATACCACATATTACATTGCGCAGCGTTAGAAAAAAAAGGCAGACATGCTGATCAGGCCGCTGCTGTGCATTAGAAGCTGCTTCATTACCAATGGGCTACGTTGATGCAAAAGTCCATCAAAATCTGAATGGGCCCTTGTCTCAAAATTAGAAATATTAATAAAAATGTTGCCTGTGAAGAAGAAAGCATTCACTTGCCTATCCTGCTGCAGAACACTGCTCCAATCCTGAGAAATCCTCCACTGAACTTATCTACAGGAACAGACAGTTCCTGGAGTGATGATCACCCGGTCCCTTGCCGCACTCAGCGGCTCCTCTCATCTGATCTCCGGTCCCTTGCCGCAATCAGCGGTTCCTCTCATCTGATCTCCGGTCCCTTGCCGCACTCAGCGGCTCCTCTCATCTGATCTCCGGTCCCTTGCCGCACTTAGTGGTTCCTCATCACAAAGTCCCATAGTGGGCATCTGTCACGCTGACAGCAGTGTGGAACACATGCGATCTACCTGTGTAATCTGCAGGACTGGGAAATCAGTTTGACAGCTCGGCCGTGCACAGTGCAGAAGACAGCAAAGTGATGCAGAGGAGGTTCAAACTCTAGCTGTGCCCACTGCAGCATGGCACCCAAGGCAGGTGCCTCTTTCCAGCCCTGACACCCCTGAACACCTACCACTGTGGATCTGCACAAAAACCTTTTTGATCCGAGGACTTATCACAAACTAAACTGAGACATATTTATAGAGAACAAGTATCTAAACAAACCAAGCAATGTAAGGTCAAGGGTATCTGTGGCTGATACTATATCACAAAGGCAGGGAGAAGCTGGCAAACTCGACCACTTAGTTGTTTAGTCTCAAGGAGTTATTTCTTCTACTGTACAATGAAATACCAGGTTGGGTTAGAAGGAAATTCTCACTGAAATCAGTTATTGTCTATTCAAATATCCTAACTCAAGCTTCCGATGGGAGTGCTCATTGAAGACATACCTCATATTACATAAGGGATCAGGGCTGAGTGCTGTACTTTATAGATCCCAGGTGCCCAACCTGTGGTGTCTGAAGTGTGGCCCTCAGGCCCCAGCAGTCAGTAGTGAGAGTATTGATTTGTAAGGCCCATTGACACATGTGATAAGGGTCAGAGATCAGATTCCTGGGGCTGGAACCATAGGTATATGGGAAAAACTGCGGCCGAGAAGCCTGTACAAAGCAATGGCAGAAGGCACATGTATCCACACATCCAGGTTACCTGTGGCTAGGGACAGAATACAAGTTTGTGCCCAACACAAACGTAATCTCAACTGGAGCGCAGCCAATCAGCTTTTGCCCCATTAAGTTATGTAGAGAAAAAAAATAAAAGATAGAAGCTGATTGGTTGCTATGGGCAATCACAACAGTTGAGATGGAACTTGCCTCAGACAATTTTTATTAAATTTCACGCAACTGTGTCCAGGGCCGGTCATCAGTCCCTAGCTGCAGGTGACCCATGGATGTGTGGATACATACGGACAATGGTGGGTCCTGTTAGCCTGTCATTGCTTTATGCAGGATTCCCGACCACAACTGTCTACAAACATCTGTGACCTCAGCCCTGGGGCTTCACACATGTGAATGGGCCTTTAATATCAATGATCTCTAGGAGCCTAGAACATCAGGCTATGACAATTCCCTAACCTCAGCACTCCACCGGTGACACTACAAATCCCATCATGACGCTGCCTCTGGGAGTCATGTCTGTAGTTATCAGAGTCTTGCAATACTTCATGGGACTCCTAGTTCCACAACAGATGGAGTGCCTTGGTTGCCTAACCCTATCCTACAACATGACTTCAGTCACCAGCCACTCCTATAATACAATCTGAGCATTTCCTCTGGAAAGTCTATGGCAGTTTTCTGTAGCATTACATGTGGCCCTTTGGAGACATCAGGGGCCACATCTGAGGACCCTATACCTTATAATGTGACAAGCAGTGGTGTAGATGGCTCTTTATCAGAGATGGAGCACTCACCAGCAAGCAGTCCGTGTTCACCTCTGACTTGGGGTCCCGTAACATGACATCGATCTTGGTGTAGCGGGACTCGAAGCTCTCCCCGGTAGACATGATGAGGCTGGCGGTGACACCGGATACGAAGAAGCGGCTACCTGGCGGAGAGCGGACGTACAGCTGGGATTCAGGTGTGCGGTGGAGATCCGGCTCCCCTCACCGCCTGTGCAACGCACTGGGCCACGGCATCCTCCCCATGGGCCCCCGGACACATAGACACACACACAGGCCCCCCCCTCCACTCCCAGCCCCCGGGGTAGCTGATCGCAGCCCGGATGACAGGTCCCGCCTCAGTGCTGACTGCCGGGCCACACCGTCATGTCTCTAGGCTCCTTCACACACAGCGCTGTCCGTCCTCCTCCCGGGGGGCACACAGGACACACGGCCGCCCTCACTCAGCCTGTTCACAGACAACGATGATGGTGGTGGTGCGGCTGAGGCTCCTCCTGGTTCACAAACCCTCCACAAACATGTCCGCCTTCCTGTTCAAACACAGTGCGGGACGGTATGGAGGAGGCCACAAGGCGCATGCGCAGAGAGAAGGGGAACGCAGGCCGGGCCAAGAGGACCTGTCCTGTGTACGGTGCTTGGAGTGACAGGCCGGGCCAAGAGAACATGTCCTGTGTACGGTGCTGGGAGTGACAGGCCGGGCCAAGAGAACCTGTCCTGTGTATCGTGCTGGGGGGAACAGGCATGGGGCGCTATACACCCAGCAGGATTAGATTGTGTTTTATCTTTATAAACAGTATACTACAAAGGAAGAGAACCTGTCCTGTGTACAGTGCTGGGGGGATGGGACAGGGGACAGTCATGGGGTGCTATACACCCAGGAGGACCAGATTGTGTTTTATCCTTATATATACTACAAAGTAAGGATGTTCAGATACCAGTTCTGATACCAGTGCCGGTACTTGGCATTTTCACGAGGACTACCGGGGTTGCAGCTGGGACAGGGCCCTAGCGCTCCACCATTGTCCTGAAATAATTCGTCTGTATTGTTTTAGAAAAACTGTCACATGACACTAAACAAAAATGTATCTGTACGCTGTACATTATATTGTCCTGACTCTTGCACACTGCATGCTGTGCTGTATGGCACATACTCCTGACACCAGCACTCTGTATGTTGTGCTGTACATTACATAGTCCTGACTAATGTATATTAGATTGTCCTGACTCCTGTACATTACATAGTCCTGATTCCTGTACACTGTGCTGTATGATACATAGTCTTGACATCTGCATTGTGTACCCTGTGCTGTAAGTTACATAGTCATGACACCTGCAAGGTGTACACTGTGCTGTAAGTTAGCCCTGACACATGCCCAGGGCCATCTTTACCGCAGGGCAACTGCCCTGAGCTCCATAATTTACAGGGGCCCACAGCAGCTGTCCCTTTCACCCAGAGCAGCAGCACTGCTCGTGGCAGGTGAGATTCGGTCCTGCCCCATCATTGGAGGAGGCATGCCACTTTAAATCTTCCTGGGAACCTTCCCGGCAGCCTTCTGGAGAACCACAGCAGCGTCTGTTTACAGCACCGGCCCGCACGTCTTCCATGCCGCGATCCACCACACCTACCCCTACTGCGATCCGCCACATCTGCCCCTGCAACAATCATCCATTTGCCCTGCTGCAATCTGCCACATCTCTCCTGCTGCAATCTGCCACGTCTCTCCTGCTGCAATCTGCCACGTCTCTCCTGCTGCAATCTGCCACGTCTCTCCTGCTGCAATCTGCCACGTCTCTCCTGCTGCAATCTGCCACATCTCTCCTGCTGCAATCTGCCACGTCTCTCCTGCTGTGATCTGCCACATCTGTCCTGCTGTAATCTGCCACATCTCTCCTGTGATCTGCCACATCTGCTCTGCTATAATCTGCCACATTTGTCCATCATAGAACAAATCAGACAAAGTTCAGGAGTCAGCTATGAATGACTTAACACAAACCTGTACTTTTCTCATACTGGACATGTTAGGTTTACTTTACTGTATGGAGCATGTACTTTTCTTCCTCTCCTTTGGCAGTGTCATGTATTCTGTATGGAGCATGTACTTTTCTTCCTCTCCTTTGGCAGTGTCATGTACCTTAGGGAAGCCTAAGATCACGAGGGCAGCCTCTGTTGCTGCTGCAGTCCAAGGACCCGTGGAGAGTGGACAGAGGAGAGGCCTGGGTGCCGGAAGATAATGTAGTCATCTGGTACACGGGGATCAGTAGTGCAGTCATCTTCCAGGCAGGAAGCATGTGAAGAAAAACAAATCTTTGATAGCGGGGTCCAGGTCAAGCCAAGTCAGCAACAATCGGGCAGCGAGGTACAGTACAATGAGGTACAGGGACAGCAGACAGGAGCGTAGTCAGGGACATTCCGGGCAGTGCAGCACAGAACAGCAGGCAGAAGCATAGTCGAGAACAAGCTGAACAGCAGTCAGAAGGCCAAGGCAAGCTGGGTCGGTAATAGGAGGTCAGCATCAGGATGCAGGAAAACAGGAGCTTCGCTAGCAGAGAACAGCTGAAGACCACACTGCATGGAGGCTAAAATGTCACAGCTTTAAATAGACTGTTTAGCACCACAGTTTTTAAAAAGTACATGCAGTGGCGTCACTAGGGGCTGCGGCCCGCACCGGGTGACACCATTGGAGGGGATGGCACCAAAATGACTGACAGTTATGTTGGTGTCACCCCCTCTGAAAAGTCGGGCACTCGGTCATGTACCGAGAGTCCGACAGTTGCACGAGAGAGGAGGTGAACTGGCTGCATACCTTATGCGCCTGGTGAACATCCCCTCCTCTCTCTGCCGGTGTCCTTCACCAAGATGGCTGCTGGCAGGTAACTGCGCGTCATGTTATCACGCGGGTGCACAATGATGTCACGTGCATGCACAATGGTGTCACATCGGTGCACACTTCTGCGCGCCCATCAAGGAACGTGCACACAGATATGTGCAGACCCGCGTAGAGGCACACGGCTGTGCACAATTCTATGTGCAGAACTGTGCCCATGCACAGGCGCTTGCACAGAGCTTTGCTCGCACAGGCTGGTTCTGGCTTCCTGACAGGCAGTCCAACTTCTTGTAGGTCCCCAGGACTGAAACTTGCCCCATACTGGATAAGATAACTCAGTTGAACTGTCACCTCTATACATACTGTAGACAACCATGGCATTTCTTGGTCTGTATTGCTGTATAGGGCTATTGCAAAGCACGCTTATTTGTTTGTTTCTTGTTACCCTTGTAACGCTAACAAAGGATTACATGGCAGAATTCAAGGACAGAACACAAAGCTGTGTTTGTTAGGAAATGAAATATGTACTATGTATATGGCATTTTCTATTAGCTGTAGGCGATCACTAACAGCTCTGATCTTGTGGTGACACCTGCTGGGCATACAGTGAATAGATTCACTACTCAGTAGTAGTGGTGCTACAATGCAAAAAATAAATGCTGATTTTTTTTTTTAAACGTGCATTTATTATTATTTTCTGGCAAATGTATTTTGCCTTTAAGTTAGCCAATAAAAAAGTATCATTTCTAATCTAAAAATATTTTACTCAGATTAGCTGGAAACTTTTGTTTAGTGAAATTATTTTCTAAAATGTATGATTATTTTAGGAGATCACAAGGGGAACAAAAACACCTACAAATGGCTGCATCACTCGACAGAAGAACAAAAGAAGTCAGAATATAAAAAAAATATATATGAACTGTATATGAAAAAATGTATATGAAAAAAACATAAAAGCAATTCAAAGCATACAAAAAAAAGTATGCATAGGAGTATCTGCGAGTCACAGTTCGCTGTCTATGTCACTGTTTGCAGCTGTACATGGGGCATAATAAAGCTGCTGTTTTGCACCTGAGTCCCATGCCTGATTCCTGTTCATTGGTGCGGCCACTTTCAAATTCCCTAGAAACATGCCCTAGGACAGGTCTTCTCCAGTCTGTGGATTTAGACATGCTCACACTCCCCCTGCTGTTCCTTAGTGGGAAGTGCTGCTGGACACTTCCCCTGACACCATCTTCAGGAAAGTTTAAAGGAGAACTATGAGGTGAGTGCTTTTCACTCACCACATAGTTCTAGCCGACCTGTGACAATGAGACTGTCACAGGTCGGCTCAGTAGATCGGGAAGTGAGCAAACACATACCGGCGTTCTCGATCCTTCTCACTTCTCGATCCTGTCACAGCTCTCTGCGGTGACAGGGGAGAGGCTGGATTCCCCCCTCCCGCTCCGATCCGCCAGCGCTGACTGGCGGAACGGACGGGGGAGGGAGCAGGAACATCTGGCTATGCCTCTAGATAGGCAGAGCGAGCTGTCAGTCACGCAGCTGGGCGGATCCAGACATAATTGTCGTGATTCGCTTCAGCTGCGGCGACTCAGTATACCGCGAGCTGCAGCTCGTGGTATACTGAGCTTAGGGTATTAGTGGCACAGCTTATGAAAATGGTTTCGCTTCTGGGGACCGGAGCAATTGTGCCATTTTTTGCTATATGTTTGTTTAACCATAATTTCCATGTTCCTCAGTCATTGCACCTACACATATTATATTCTTATGTTTTTTCTAGAAAAAAAAAATAATTCACAGTTTGTCAATAATAATGTGTATAATAAAAAAACTAGTGTAGCTAACAGAAAATAATTCATAATAAATTATTTTATTTGTCCTGATTTGTAGGGTACAGTATATCATATGTCTGGGATTTCAGTTTATTTTGGGAGTTATAGGTCACAAAATATAAGAGTGAAATACAATTTTGGTGTGGAACAATTTTAGAATGTGATATGTTTGTCTCCTATCTTTGATAGCCTCTTCAGCACTATATATTCTTATAATTGTTTTAATATACTTTTTTGTTTCTTTACTTTTTTACATTTTTTCTTTTTTTTTTAATATGAAAAACCTTTTTTTATTTTAAAATTGTATTTAAAAAAAAACCTGTGGGGCACTAAGGGGTAATTTTTTGTATTTACATGGTCTTTGATACTTAGTATCTCTAAGTAAAATTCAGTATTCTGCTGAGAGATACTTTGTATCAGTTTGTAAACATACAGCTGACTCCAGCTGCACATAACAAAGTCAGCTGCTGCTGGCTGTGTAACTGTCACAGCTCTGCGATCACAGCGATCAGCTCTAACTGTGATCACAGAACTGTGACCACCTAATCTGCTGTTGAGGGTCTGCTTCGGACCCCGAGGGACCCATCAACTGCAGTAACTCAATAAGCTACTGGTCCCTTCACGGACCAGCGCTTATTGTACCAAATGACAGGATTATCTCGTCACCGGTTGTTAACAAACTGAACGATGGTGACTGCATAATCCCATCATTGGTCGGGAAGAGGTTAAACTTGTTTAATTCACTTAGTAGTTGCCCGAGCAAAGACCTTGCTGACCTTTTCCTTGTTTGATCAAGGTCGACCATGCCGATTGATTTTGTACCATGCTTTTTTTCTGGCTGCTGTCAGATGTTTCCTCTTTGACTGTAACCTGGGATGCCATCCGCAGAAAAACCCATC